TCTTCAAGAAAGTAGAAGTTTTGTAAATATGTTCAAGGATGAATGGACGGACTGACGAACAGAGCCAAACTAATAAGCAGTTTTTTTAAAAGTTTTTTGGAAAAGTGCTAAAAAAGCTTGAATTTTTCGCTACGAAAAGTTTTAAAAAGTATTCTTTGGAATCTTCTGAGAAATTGCTGTTTTTTTTTATCACAGAGAGTTAAAATGATTTTTTTACACAGTTTTAGAAATTTATTTTAGTACCGTAAAGATTCTACCATTTGTTTTTGTTTGAAAGTAAATTATCAATAAAGTTACATTCGAGTACCTTTTTGTTCGCCTTTAATTAAAAGAGTAAATAATATTATTTTCATAATAAAAAGTTCAAAATATACTCTAAACCTATTTAATAATGTCATTTAAGCGTTAATTTTTTACAATAAGAATTAAGCAGAAATGGAAGCTATGAGTATATGAGCTGAATGATTGGAAATTTGAAGCTTATTCTCATAGATACAATCTCGATTCAATTGATTAATTTTTATTGGAAGTTGAAGAAATTTTAAGAGTTCTTTTAATTAATAATTTCGAATAATCTTTTCGATTTGAGAAGATGTAAATAAGGCAGATGTTTGTTTCGGAATTTTTTAAAAAATTTTGCTTACTTTTATTTATTAAAAATTTGTCACTATATTTCTTATTATAAACGCCAAATTTTAAAATCCTAAAGACCTAATGTAGATGCATCCCGTTAAACCTCACAACTTTTGCTAAAATTTTGAAGTTTTAATTTTTTAAAATTTCTTAAATTTTCTATAAAGTTTTCAAAATTTCTTAATGTATTTTTAATTTTTTTTTGAAAAACTTTTATTTGCCTTAATTACTTTCTTCCTAATACTCGTGAAATGACTCAAGAATTGGTTATATGATTAGGGTTAAATAATAACTTAAGTCGCACAATTGAGTAAATATGTAATTAGTTTATAATAGTCTTCATTGAGTAGTCAAATCCTGATTTTTTTCCGTTACTTATTAGACCTAATATTTTTTATAGTGACCTAAAAGGCACGATTTAATTTTAAATTAATTTCCAGCCCATTTGTAAAAACTGCTCATCCCCATGACTTTATATAATATTCTTTAAGGTATAATGAGTAGTTTGTTTTATGCTTTAGATTTATTAAAGTAATCTATTAAAGTTTATCTTCATTACGCTGTGCATTGTTGATTATTCAAGGTGTAACTGACCTTATCAGGGATTACATAACAAAAAAAAATTTTTTTTTGAAAATTTAATTCAAGGGTACGACGTATTTCATGATAAATTTTTGTTCTTGAAATTATTTGTTTTTTTCTACAATATAAATATTGTTACAAATTTAAAGGTCTAACTTCTTAAATATTCTTACTTTTTATATTATACAATAGCTTATAAATGCATAGAGCTATAGGTATTCAATTAGTAGCTAAGACTATATAATTACTATATTAGGATACATTAAAATATTTTGTATTCAGAGTAATTGTTTTTATTAGTAAATTGTCGAGTGGTTTTTAATGTCAGTTAATAATATTAGAAAAAATAAATGAACCATATTATTTTTATTTATATGTTGAATCAATCAATTTATATCTCGAATTTTTGTTTCCTTTGTAATAAATATTTAAGATTTATAGTAGTGTCGCAGGTTTTTATATGGATTAATCTGCAGAAAATGGTTGTAAACAAAATTTTAGCTTCTTTTGCCTTTTCTTAGGTAATTTTTTAGGATATACCATTAGTAATTGGATCTGATTCTGGAGCAAAGTAATATTTTTCCAACAGTGGGCAAAATAATTATGTTATTTGTTAGCTAGAACATGGAAGGGTTTAATTTAAGGGCAGCAGAGTTGGGATGAATGAAAAATGATAAATATTTAGTTGATTGACATATCGACTTAAAAATTTTCCTTTGTGCAAGGAAAGAGGGTGTATTGCTAAAACATTATTAAAATGCATCTTATGTGGCCTTTGTGTAATTTATCTAAGAACACTGACAGTATTTGAAAATGATCTCTTCTTAAAATCTAACAACACTGAAAACTTTCGAACAATGTTTCTCATCTTGTACGGCGCACTAAAAAGTCACTCAAATATCAACAATCAAAAGTTCAAAACAATTCTTGCGCGAAAATTACGAATTATTTTGTGGCTATTAAATTTTAACAATTTTTTGTAAATTCTGAACTTTATATATGAATTTCCTAGAGTTAGCGTTTTCAACTATATATTTTTTATTTTTATACTTTAACTCTGTCTAGCTTAACTATAATCTAAAAACTCGGAATTATTATTGTAATGAAATCTTAATTTATTTATTTACCTAAAATGAAGAATTACACGCAATTCTAATAAATTTTCTATATATTTTTTTAGCCATTTAAATTCGCCTTTCACATAGCAGAAAACGGAATAATAAGAACAAATATAACAACAAAATATCACAAAAACAGAAAAACATTTTTTTTAGGAAAAAGTAAAAGGAATTATGGATGTCGAAATATAAAAACAAGTCAAAACCACATTGGAGAATAAACCACTTTTTCATTTTAATATTCACACTGCTATACTTAAAAGTTATAAGGTTGAGTGTTGCGTGTTAATTTTAGTCAAGAAAAAAAAAACGAACGAAAATAAACTAAGCCATATATATAACGTAGCATATACCCGCATATATATCTAGGCATGTATAACAAAATTTTCTTTAATATTTATTCTTACCTAAGTATATGATAAACTTATACGCAACCGTATGTACAAGTATATAAGCGGTGTACATTAAAATGTGTAATAGTAATCTGGTATTTTGTTTTTTACCAACTTGGAAGCCATTTCTATGAGTTTCACCTTTAGCAATTTAAGGTAAATGTATAGGTATTTAGATTAGTATATATTATATGGTATGTATGTATGATATCTGTATATAAATGTGAGTAATATGTAGGAAAATTGATGGAAAGGAAAATGAGGATAGAAATACACAAATCTACATAAAAATATTATACATACTCGTACTTATATAAAAATATTTTTTTATTAATATTCATGAATGATTTCTAATTCTATTGGTTTCATTGCGCTTATCTTTTACGTGAGCAGTATCATAAAGGCAGAAAAAGAAAAATGAGATTTTTTGTAAAACATGAATATTATAATATTATGTCTTTTATAGTTAGATATAGAAGCGCCCTATTTTATGCAATAAAATACTTATCCATTATATAAATATTATAAATTACACATGGTTGTATGTTTGAGTACAGGCTGATTTATATAAAATGTTATGATAAGTGTAGTAATTTATTAAATATATAAATGTTCTAATCTATGACTAGGTTAAAGATCATCAGTGATTCTCTATATATATATATATAATTTCCGTCCTTGTGTTTGTGTATAAGTTTAATTTTGTTTTAAACAAACTTCGTTCCTATATTATTTGAAAATGTATGAAGATTATAAATTTTACTGAGTTTAAAAATTATGAATTTTATTGAAATTTCAATTCGAAATGAAAATTTATATACAATATAAGAAAATTTGACTTTGTAACTGCGAAATTATAGCAGATTTAAAATTTCATAAAAATTTCAAATATTATATGTAATAATACTAATTATGTATGTAGGTGAATAACGCAAAATATTATGCAATCTGAAACTCAATGAATTTGAAATTATGGCTATATCTAATAAAAAAATAAAAAATTCTGTCAGTAATTGGTGCAGACAACAAGCGATTTACTACCACTAAAATCAAAAAAGATCAATATTTAACGTTAAGGAATTAAATTGTAAACTGAATTTAATAACTTGTACACTAAAGTTAATTTGTGGTACAGATTCGATAAATTAAATTGTATAGCATTTGAGGAACTAATGTCTGTTATAAACCAAAACTAGTACAATATTTTTGGTATATTAATGAATGTGGTCATCTAATTATAAAATTTACCGGGAAATATTTATTTTTACACAAAATAGTAAACAAAAATAACTGAATTTGTAACCATAATTTACTTGTATTCAATAACACTTATATAATCTATTTCTCTATTTGATAATTCAATTTAAATTTTGTACATGAATATTTGTATAAAATTTATGGTTTTAAAGGAATATACTTGTTCAAAAACATATGTATGTAATATAGGTTTATATAGTTTGAATATACGTATTTACGGATACACGTTATTCAAAAAATTTTTGGTAAAATTGTCAGTTAATGGGTTTTTTGGGAATTTTAATTGTTCTACGTATTTCTTTCCTTATTTTAGATTTGTTTTTTTATACCATAATGATTTGATTAATTTAGTTAGAATTTACAATTCGTAACTAAATAAGTTTTTTTTTAATTGAAATCGAATATATAATTTAACATTAAAATATAGATAATTTATAAAATAAATAAAGTGTTTTATAAAAAAAACGCTATCGAATTATAAAAAAATACTCAAGTGAGAGGAATAAGTTACATACTTTATTTTAAAGAAGAAAATAACGTGCTTGTCATTCATGTATTCAATGGCTCATTTACTTGAATAACTTTATAATGGAAAAGGCTTTATAATGATATTCTTAAATTTATATACACAAATGAATTCTGGTGAAGGAAAAGAAGAAATTTTCAATCTAAATTCCCCCTCTATTTCAGAACTCCAAAATTGATAGCCTCATATATAAGATTATTTAAGGGGCTTTCTTAAATTTTATAAACGCATTAAAATACGAATTCACTTCTTCTAACATATGGAAAATTAGGCGTATGGCTTGATGAAAAGATTTTAATATTATACCTTAATATGAAATTTGAGTTTGATTTAAGATTTTTTCGTAATTCAAAACTCAATTAACATAAAACTTTTCTAATGCACAAAAATAATTTTTTAACACACAAAACTATTTGATTACTATAATTAATATAATAATTTAAATAATTTATGTAATATAATAAAAATTTAATTTTACTTTTCTCTTTTCAGATTTCCTATTGAAAATGCATTTAAAATAGCATTTTAAAAAGCAATATAAATATGTACAGAAATAAGTTGTATGTCTGTTGTTAAAATTAAAATACGATATTAAGAAAAAATATACGATATTTTTAATACATATATATTTTAAAAATGTTGAACTGTTAATCTTGAATATAAATAATTAGTTAATTATTTTATTTTTACTCATTTTTTAATCTTTTAAAATATATTTTAAATATGACAATATTATAACACACGCTGTTTTTTCTGCTTTTTATTTTTTAAATATAAAATTAATATGAAAGGCATTATAAATGACAAAATAATAAGAAATAAAAAAAAAATGATATAAAAATGATTGAAAAATCTAAAAATAAATTATTTAAAATAATTATTTTACTTCTATTTAAATTGTAAAATAATAAAAATAAAAAATTAATAAAATAATTAAAAAATAAATTTAATAAGTATTATGAGAAAAAACCAAAAACATTTCCCTCCATACACATTAAATATATTAAAAGTGAATTTAATTTAATTAAAACGTATGTAAATAATTATTAAAATAAATTAAATAAATAAATTATTTAATATTAGTTAAGAGAAAATGAGTTTAGAATTAATCTAGTTTATTAAAAAAAGAGAAAACAATAATATGAATTTTTAATTCGTTTTTTTTCTATTCAACAAAAAATGAGGAAAACCACACAATTATAATGGTTTTCACTTTACTAAATAATATTTGACTTGTTGTCAAAGTAAAATATTTCACTTGTTCATAAATTCTTAGATTAAATTAAAACATTTTTGTAAATAAAATCGATAGAAGAAAATTAATTTATATATAGATACCAAAAAAAAAAAAAAATTAAATAGAAAATAATTATTTTCTTTTCTGTTACATACTCAATAAGAAAAATTAAAGAAAAATATTTAAAAAAAAAAAAAAGTTGCATTTGTATAAATTAAAAAAAGAACCGTTTTAGAAAATCATCTAGATAATTATAATTTACATATTTATTAATATTAATTGTGAAATTATGTAATTAGAAAACAAAAACCTAAAAATGCTTTTAAAATTACTTAAAACCAATACGCTTTCTGTCAATTACTTATATTTTTATTCAAAAATATAAAATAATTTTAAAATATTAAAAAGAAAAAAATCTATCTCTAAAAATGTTAGTAATATTATAACGAAATGTATTAAAAAATACAAAGGACACAAAAATATTCATATATAATTTATCACATATAAAGAAAAATAAATTACTTAATATAATTGCAATTAAATTTGTTATTAAATTAAAAAAGAAAGTAATTAATATAATTGCAATTAAATTTGTTATTTAAATTAAATAAAATAAAATGCCTGGAGGACGAAGAGGACTTGTTGCACCGCAAAATACATTCTTAGAGAACATTATAAGGCGATCAAATTCACAACGTGAGTTTTTCTTAACTTTTTTTTTGCAATTTTTTCTTTTTGAATATATTATTGCCATTATTATTATATAATCTTTTTTAAAAAATTCTACATACATATATAAATATTATTATGTAAATTAATTTTTAAATAACATTATTCATTTTAATATCTATATGGCGTACAAAATGATATTTTGGAAAAAATTATGGAAAATTAACTTGTTTTTAATGATTAATTGTATAAACTGAATGGATTTAAAATATTTTTACAAAAAATAAACCAAGTGATAGGCCTATTTCCATTAATTGTCTTAACGTGATTTTGAAAGAAATTGAGTTGTAACCATTGCGAAACATTATAAAACTAAGAAGAGACTTAAGAAGTATTAATCAAATTTTATCAATTGAGTGACATAAAGCAGTAAATGTAGTAAGCATTTGCTAGTTGCTTCGTTTAATTAACCTTGAGAATTGTTCATATGTCACGGAATACAATATCTATGCCTTGTTCTAGTTTAAATTTTCTGTTCTTTTTCAGGAGCTTCTTATATACTGCTATAAAACTATACAAAAACCTTTCAAAATTTGTTCAAAAATATGGGAATAAAATGTAAATTTTTAAACAAATTTTTTAAAATCTATAAACAAATATTTCAGTATTTGCATTCAATTTTATTTATACTCAGAAGTTTTGTATTTCTAATAAATTACAATTTTAATGATATTGTCATTTGTAAATAAAATATTAAAGTGGATTTTTAAATAAATAAGTTGAATTTTTCAATTTTATTCATTAAATTAAAATTAATTAAGAGAAAGTTTTAAAAAAATTTGAAAAACATAGAAAAAATAATAAAGAATTTGTTTTCTTTAATAAAAGCTTTAACTAAGAATAGTGCTCTTTGATAAAAACTAGGAATAGTAGTAAGGAAACGTACGTGTACTCTGATAAAATGCGAACTACTGATTTATGTTATACATCTGTCTCTTTATCTATTTGATTATCAATGAAATATCATGTGAACGAAAAAAAGCCCTTGAGAATAATTATAAATTTTTGCATGTTTGGAAAAGTTAGAATAAATATTTGTAGTTCGTATTTGTTTTAGACATAATACATCTGCCATTTTGGTACCATATAATGATTATTTTGACTTACATAAATCTTTATTTTGAATTTCCTTTTCTCAAAAAATGCGTTTTAAAGAAAAAAATATTATTTAACTATTTAAATTAATTCATTGACACAAACAAAAAACTTAAGTATCATGGGCGAAAATTTTAGCATATATTTCGTTATATATACTTAATGAAAGGGAGGATTTACTAAATACGTGAGACGTTAACTTAAAAGAAGAGGGAAATTAAAAAAAAAATTTCTTTCAACGAAATAATTTTTGAGCCTCAAGGGGCTATAACTTTTTAGAAAGAGAAAGATAAGTTTAAACTATCTTTTAGAGAAGCAGTTTTCGTGCAAAGAGCTATTTGTTCTATTTTCAATTTTGGTTTTCGGTCTTAAAGGGTTAATTGAAGTTTTTTAAACAGTGGGAGTCGTTTTTTTTTTTAATTTTGTTGGAAAAGTTCAAAAAAGGAAAAGAAAAATTTAACTTTAATACCTTCTTAACCAGTTTAAAACTCTGCAATATAATTTATAATATAAAGAATAATAAAAAAAAAGAAGGTGAGGTAAAGATTTTGGAAAAGATAAACGGGAAAAACCTTATTTTTCTTTCTATATTTCTATTTTAATCTACATATTTTGTTGCTTTAAAACGTTACTTTGTAAATTATGTGGAAATGGTTTGATGTTATACTTCTTTTTCGTGCATAATTGACCTCAATTTATATGAAATCTATGTTGAAGGAACAAACGAAAAAATAGCAAACAAAAATTCTGCGGTTTTGCTATGGTCGAAGAGAAAAAATTTTTCTATTGCTTTTTATTATTTGCTTTATTTTTATCGACCGTATTGTGTAAACAATAGGTAGGTGATGTGAATGCAACAAATTTTGCATATCGAGTTTTCGGTGGAAATGCACTTCTCCGTAGTAGGGAAGTGTAAGTAAACTATTTTTAGCAACCTGTCGGTCCGTCGGTCTGTCGGTCTGTCGGTCTGTGTGTGCACGCGTGTATCTCAAGTTCGGCTGAACCGATTTTGATGAAATTTTACATGTAAGTTTATTTCCACCATGGCACGGATTGATCAACTTTTGGTATATATCAGGCCCCGGGAACTGCACTTTTTAGCGGGCCTGTTTTACATTTTTCAACATTTTGAAGAAAATATTCAACCGATTTACTTGAAATTACATATTTGAGCTTTGCTCGACCGTTCGCGAAAATTCCTAACTTTTGGAACAAATCAGGCATCGGCAACTGGACGTTTACTACGGGCCAAATATACATTTTTGTGTATTTAAAGAGAAATAATCAACCGATTTCATTGACATTTAATATTTGAATTTCTCGTATTAAAAAAATGAATATGTAAATTTTTTGGAAAGATCAGGGCTCGAAAACTGATCTGCGGGCCGATTTTACATTTTTCACCATATCTACGGAACGAATTGATGGAATTTCTTGAAATTTGATATTTCAGTTCTGGTTGTTACCGAAACTAACTGGCAAGCATTTCAGAGAATTCGGGTAGCACAAAGCGAAACTCTACTAAGAGCCAAATTTACATTTTTCTAGGTATGTTAACTATAAGCTTATTAATGGCCTAAAAATTGGAAAGAAGTATTTAACAGACATTTTTATAATATTCTGTAACACTTTCATTTAACTAGACAATACACAATGCGGTCGGTTATGTGCTGACTGCATGCATGTTTTGGATTATACTAACAAGAAATTAAAAATGGGAAAACTCATGTTCTGTACTATAATCATGATGCTTATAAAATAAATAAATTTTTATTCTCTATTTTTCTGGTAAATTTATTTCTTTTTCGACTTTGGAGCAGTTGGTACAGTGTTCGTGGTGTGTCATAATTTTACCAAAAAATAACCAATTGAATATATTATAATCTTTCTAATATTTTTCAATTTTAATGTTTTTTATAGTTTGAAACACTCAAGCCATTTTAACATTAATTTCATTTATGGTCTCTTTTATATAAAGTTTTATATTTAACGTTTGCATTAAACTTTCTCAAAAATGTTAATTCTCTAATAAATGTTTATTATCATAGTCGATATAAAAAAGATATTTCTTGTGCCTTCGAAGAGTGTAAGACGCATCAAATCTTACCACTTTCGAAACCACAAACCAATTTGTTTGACGTTCCAAATTGTTTGACGTTGACAATTGTTGCGAATCATAAAAGTGAAAAAATGAAACAAAATTGAAAAAAAAAAAATCACCCATTGTTTCGATATTGAAAATTAAAACTAGATGAAATATGATAATTTATTTCTCATTTAGCGGTACAATTTCATGTCGGCTTTTTGTCAGAATGTCCATTTTTTGTATATTATGTTATATTTAATTCACTTACTACTCGTATTTGGCTTGCAGAAAAATAATATAAAAATAATGTTGACTTAAACAATAAAACGAGAACAAAATTAATTTCTTTTTACTTATTTATGCTTCTTCGGATTCGACTTTGCAGCATTTAAAAAACATTTAAACAAAATAATATAATAGAATATTTTTACTTTTTTTCTTACATTTTTTTTTTTGAATATAGCTTATGTGAGTATAAATGTGTTTTTCAGATGAAACAAGAAAAAGTTTCAAAAGAAAAAAAAAAATTTAGAAAATTTAGAAAAGTTTAAAATAAATTGTTCTTTTGTTAATGTTTTTATTGTTTTCTGCCTCCTATTGTTTGGCGTTTATAAGTGTTTAGAAGTGAAAGACCATAAACTTTATATATGTATGTATATAATATTAAAATATATTTATGTATACATTTATATTCATGTTATGTGCATACAGATGTGTTTATACAATTTCAAGTTTTATATATCTCTAAATAACAATGTATCGTTGCCAACTTAAATATAACAATAACCAAAGAGTCACTTTTTATGTATTTTTAGCTGGAAGTTTCAGAATTTTTTCCTCATTA